ACAGACTCCACCCTCCGGCCCCTCCTTTCTCTTTCCGAGGCTGTCACAGCAGAGCAGAGACGTTGTGCACCCGCCTGTTTTGTATCTCTGCTTTGCTGTGACAGACAGCCTCAGAAAGAGAAAGGAGGGGGCGGGGTTTGTCTTTCCCCATCACCAACCAATTGTCGTGTATAATCTTACATTGAAAATCCGCAAAAGAGTTTGCGAAAGTCTAACCACGAAGTATCGAGGGACTACTGTACCGGTACTTGTAATTCAGAGAGCAGAAAGTTGTGTGGTCATATTTTAAGCGGTTACTTAAAAAAAAAAAAAAAGGCTTCTTTGAGAGAAAAACTGTCTTCTAGCCCTGGGACATTATTTCATTGCCCACCTCCATTCACTTTGTACACACCTTGGCAGCTGCTCCCTCTTGTAGGATTTAATCTGCTAAAGTTCACTTCTGTAATGAAGATGGGCAGATTTGAACCAGTTTTTAATTATCATTATTTACAGTCAGGATGTTTTCTTTAAACATGAATGAGTTTTCTGTCAGAGGAGAGCTCCAATGCAGTTGTCAAAATGCAGCTCTGGTGCTCTTGTGACGTGTTGACCATGTCCATGTCTGATGTCACTATTTTAAGAAAAAAGTTACACAGATTTGATGTGGAGTGGTGTTTAATTATTTGTATAATAATAATAATGTGTATGTGTTGTCATAATTGTATGTTTCCATACAATGGCAAAACTGGCTCTCTGCACTTAACCCATCCACCACTGGATGTGGCCGTGGGCAGCTATTGAAGGCGCCTGGGGAGCAACTGGGGATGAGGTGTCCTGCTCAGAGACACCAAGATATGTGCACTGACTGGGGATCGAACTTGGGACCTTCGGGTCCTGAGTTGGCTGCCCTGCCCCTACACCATCTTGGCCCCACTGAAAGACAGGAAATGTTGATGTATGTTAAAGTATGCCTTTATTTAAAGCTTATTTTCCACGTGATAATATTTATCTGTTTACAAGAAAATAAGCTCACGGTTCAAACAGGTCAACATGTGGCTTCAGTGGAGGAGAAATATCAGAGAAGCGGCCACTAAACATGCCAAGTGCTCTGAATAACACCCTCATATCACATCATGATAAAGGAGCCTTTGGCAGCAGCTTCCTTTAGAGCGTTATGAACATTTATTATAAATTCAAATGAGGCTTTTGAGCGCATATTAAAACCTGCATCTGTTAATATTCCACAGAGACACCGCGGCACAATCTGATGGAGAGGCGAAGATGAGCCTGAGATTATACATTTAAATTCAATAACAGCAGCAGTTTCCTATTTAACCCATGCAACTCCTACTGCTCTGCACTAACTGTGCTGTATGACCATTAATTACATAAAATCAGATACGTTCCTCTGGGGTGTCAAACTCTGTTACAAAAGGGGACCAAAATTAAAACCTTGGTCCAAGTCATGGGCCAATTTCAGTCGATACATTAACTCAAGTCAAATACCTGACATCTTTTCTAGGTTGCAGGTTTATCAACAGGAGTTTAATTGGTTCCATTTGACATTCTTTGTTGCTCTTCCACATCAAAATATAAAATTACTAAAACCTCTAACCTTTTTTTCTGGCTTTAAAGTTAGCCAACTGTCATGAGAAGTCTGCACTAAATGAAGTTTGCGACGTATTTTAAGCAAAATGAGAAGAAATAAAATATTTTTTCATTTAAAATATCCTCTTAGGGAACCATGTAAGATGTTAACAGAGGCCTGATTTGGCCTGTGAGCCTCGAGTATGACACGTGTGCTTTACAAGGTGCTAAGCTACACAAAAAAACCAGTCAAATCTGTATATACCTCTGCAAAATGACTTGTTCTGCTCAGTTCAGGTGGTCATGGCCTTGCAGTCTTTTTTGGATTGTCACTGCAGTTTCCTGTAGCCTCCTCCATGTTTGTTCGAAGTCTTTGTTCCTTTCATCCAAAGACAGCACGCTATACAGAAAAACACAGAGAACACTCAAATATGAGCCTCTTCATATCATCTGACCCACCTGAGGAGGACATTAGAGGTGAAAAGTTTGTGAACCTTTGTTGACGGTAGAGCGCGCAGATTTCCTCCAGAGTATCACAGCTAAGTGTTGATTTTTGTCCAGGGGCATCTGGGTGTGAAACGACATACTGCTTGATGATCGCAGACTGCTCAAACTTGAAAACAAAAAGCTGAAGCTGGCTGCTCGTGCTAGAAGAAACACTGTCACTGGTTTCCTGGTCGCCTGAGTGAAAAATGAAACGACTTGAACGTATGCTCCCCATTACAAACAACCCTTTTTAAAATTAACAGTTTTCACCTGAAGCTGGAAACAAACAAACAAACAAAAAAAAAAACCAGCCGAGCGGTCCTTTTGTTTACCTCGTATGAAAAGGATTTGGTGTTTTCTGTTCAGAGCATAAACGGGGTTGCAGGGAGAAGCGATTCGATGGGATGCAGGAGGGGCCAAGAAGCACACTGGGGTTTTGTTGATGGCATCTTGGAGCAACATTTTTCCATTTCTTCGCACCACAAGTAACTATTTCAGGCAAGCAACACGGGACATCAGCAGCCCAACAATCTAAAATTATTAGTAAATGAGTACAAATAGTTGTGTGTGTTATTTTTTTTAAATCAGTAGTGATCCTACCACAGCTCGTAGGAAAGGCACTGACATAATGACACTTGGGAGGTCCCTGCTGTCTTTTGGCCTATAAACATACAAATTGCATGTAAAAGCAAGAATTTATAAGTTGGATTTAATACAATCTAATTACCAAGAGCAGACAATTTCATGAAGGTTGAATATGGAAATAGGTCCAACTCAAAACCTTTCGGTAAGCTGCACGGTGCAGGTCTCTGCCCCTCGCCCTGCAGTGATTGTATAAGTGGCTCCACTTTTACACAACACCAGAACGTGGACCGGTTCTTCAGTAAAAACCTGAGAACTGTAGACTGACGTGGTCCAATTATCCATGAACTGCATCCTGAGGAGTGCACTATTTTCTGCTAGCACTGAGACGATGTGAAGTGGTGCTCCTGAGTGGAAGACAAAAACAGTAAACTAATATTAATATTTACCAGTCTCTTATTTTAAACTTTTGTCCAAACATTAAAAATCCTATTAATGCCTGAAGAAACCACGAGGTGCGGCAGAGGAGAACTGCAAGACTAACTGAGGCCAAACTAAAGCCAAATTCTTACAGAAGAATGAGAATTGTTATGTGGTTCCCAACCCTGGTCCCTGAGGAACACCATCCTGCATGTTTTAGTTGTTTCTCAGCTCAAACGCACATGATTCAGTGATTTATTTACTTCCGTAATTTTGGCAGAAGCCTGTTGATCACCCTTTCATTCAAATCAGGTGCGTTGGAGCAGATGAACAACTAAAACATGCAGGATGGTATTCCTCAGGGACCAGGGTTGGGAACCACTGAGAACAACATAACAAGGTTGTCTGAAACCATAATGCACTCTTGGTTTGAGGTATCTCTTAGTGGCCGGACCAGCTGCCACAACACCGAACAATAAGGATGCATTTCCTGCGTATATTAAAGTTATGATGAAGAGGACCACTGGTTCGTAGACATCCTTTCATCCATATTTACCCGCTTCTACATTTCTGGGTCACGGGTGTCACTGGTGCCCATATCCAGCAGTTACTGTGTGAGAGACTGGGGACACCCTGGATAGGTTGCAGGTCCATCACAGGGACAGACAGAGACCAAAAAGACAACCATTCACACACTCACTCACACCACAATTTATAATAACCAACAACATGCATGTTTTTGGTCTGTGGGAGGAAACCGGAGTACCCAAGCTCCTTGAGAGCCCCCCCACCCCCCTACCTTTCTACAACATCACATGTTCCCAGCTATTACCACATAACAGATCCCTCACTGTAAGATTAGCTCACCGGATCGCCTGTCCCAGACACACACCAAAGCATCTTCAAGCCCAAGACTTATGTAACGGGTGCATCTGCTGACAGCTGAGCAAACTATCTCCTTTGCATTTGGCCACAAAACATCTGGCATGGGTGCTAAATCTGCTTTGGATAAAAAATAAATAAATAAAAACAGCCCCAAAACATGCTTCTTCTTTTTTAAAAAAAAATATAATATATGAGCAGCATTCAGAACATTTTAAACTGAGCAGGTTTCATTTCCTCCCTGGTTTGTTCTTTGGAGCTCTTTGGAGTGAATACTGAAGAAGATTATGGCTCTCAGTCCACCACACAGCAACAGCAACAGGCAAACCTGCAGAGAGGAGAGAAAAATCCTTTAAAACGACAAGAGTGTGCACGCTCCCCTCGTGTCAGTCAGCCAGTATGCGAGGACGCTGGCAGATGCTTTCAATAGTGTTAAGGAATTTCTTTTTTTCTTAGTTAAAAGATGAGACAACAAAACACCTGCTTCGTTACACACCTGGCTGAAAGTTCGCTTTACTGTCCCCAGACAACTGATCACAAGGCAGAAGAAAGTGAGAGGTGCACCCCCTGAAAGAGATTACATGTAACTTGTGAGAAAAGGATGAGAAAGCTTATCATTTACAGCCCATTTATACATTTAAAGTGACGCAACACACTCAAATGTATCATGTACACAAACATTAATTAAAAACATTTGTAGCCTTCATTATTGCACCTTTCATAATTTAAGTAAAGGGTTTAAAACTTATTTCAGGGACAAGAACTGAAAAGAAGAGCTTTAGAAAGTTGTTTTTTATGCAAATGTTTTATTTTGCTTTGATTTGATACTTTCACTTCAATGTGGCACACATTATACTGGTAATTACTTCTGTAACTAAATTGTTATCTTGTACATTTGTTTGAAACCACTCTCCTTTGAGACCGAGATGTCGTGTCTCAGTGAGATTATCTGTATAAATAAAGCTTAATTAGATTAAGCCAAACACAGCAGTCTAGCTGTCAATTGCTGATTGTATTTGCCTAAACCTAATTTCACCTTGAGCTTCCACATGTCTCCTTTGTTTTTCCAGCATCTGTGCCAAAAGATAACTTCTCTCTCTGATGACTGCTGCTTCTGATGACGTCCAGATTGAAGCAATATGTAAAATAGTCCATTGTATGACCGACCCCGGGTGGACAGTCCACCGTCGTTCCTGAAAATCAGCAGAAACCCACAAGATTTGTTTATGTTCTCTCACTTGATCTTGTGTTTTTGTTTCACTTTCAATTCAATTCAGTTTATATATATATCACCAAGTCACAACAGAAGTCATCTCAGGACACTGAACAGAAACATTCACATACATAAAAAGTAAGTTAATTACACTATTTATCTGAGGAGCAGACTGCTTTGAGTTTAACTTCATCGCAGACTCTCATCTTGAGCAAACATGAAGGCAACAGTGAAAAGGAAAAACTCCCCCATCAGGAAGAAACTTTTAGCAGAATCAGGCTCAGGACAAACGGCCATCTGCTTCGACCGGCTGGGTTGGAGAGGAACAGGAAGGGCGAACATATACACAATGGCAGGTCGAGAATCACATTAAAATAGAAATATTATCAATGAAAACTATTCAGTCGTAACAATTCATTTTAAGAAATGAGGTCAATTTGTCCTATAAGCCTACGGCAGCAAAACAAGCCGACCCTAACTATAGGATTCATCAAAAAGGAAAGTCTTAAGCCCAGTCTTAAAACTGGACATTGTGTCTGCCTCATGGACAGAAACTGGAAGTTGGTTCCACAGGAGAGGATCCTGATAACTGAAAGATCTTCCTCCCATTCTGCTTTTGGAAACTCTAGGAACCGCAAGTAAGCCTGCAGTCTGAGAGTGAAGTGCTTTGTTAGGAAAATATGGAACAATAAGATCTCGAATATTAGATGGAGCTAAGTTGTTGACAGCTTTGTAGGTTAGAATTAAGATTTTGAATTCTATTCTGGATTTGACAGGGAGCAAATGGAGAGAAGCTAAAACTGGAGAGATACGATCTCTCCTACTAACTCCAGTTAAGACTCTGGCAGCAGCATTTTGGATCAAGTGAAGACGTTTTAAAGAAGTATTTGGACACCCAGATAAACCATTGCAATCGTCCAGTCTAGACATGACACATGTATGAACCAGTTTTTCTACATCATTTTTAGATAAGGTGTTTTTAATTTTAGCGATATTACGCAGGTGGAAGAAGGCAGTTCTAGTAATGTTGACATGTCCTGATCAAAAATAACACCAATATTTTTAACATTAGAGCTGGAGGTCAGATTAATGCCATCCAAGGAGGATGGAAGACTGGAAAATTTATTCCTAAGACGCTCAGGTCCAAAAACTAAAACCTCAGTCTTGTCTGTGTTCAAAAGCAGAAAATTTAGGGTCAGCCAGGTTTTTATGTCTTTAAGACATGCTTGTAGTCAAAGTAGCTGATTGGATTCATTGGGTTTTATGGACAAATATAACTGTGTATCATCAGCATAACAATGAAAATGTATCCCATGCTGTTTAATAATGTTACCTAATGGAAGCATATACAAGGTAAAAAAGTACTTGTCCAAGCACTGAACCCTGAGGAACTCCATGACTAACTTTGGTGTATGAATAAGATTCATTATTTACATTTACAAATTGGAATCTATCAGATAAATATTATTTAAACCATTTTAGAGCCATTCCTGTAATCCCAGTATCATATTCAAGCCTCTGTAGTAGAATATTGTGATCATCTGTATCGAATGCAGCACTTTATAAGAGTTGTGACAGAGAGAACAAACAGTTCATTTGCATCACTAATTTAAATGCTGTAAATAATAGGAGCTATGCACATCCTTAAAACAGAAACAAACACTAATGGATTCTGCACAGGACTTTTAATTCATGTTGCCATCAAATTAATCACAGAACAGCTGTGAAACATTCACCTGAAGGAGCTTTGGGTGGCGTGATTTTAATCATCACTGTTACTGGAGACCATTTGACGCCCATTTCTTCAGGTAAGTTTTGGTCCTGAGGGTTAAAAAAGAAGGGTGCAGCTGACAAAGATATTAAAATACATCCTAGCAGTGTCACAAGTAGAAAACACATACAGTACATGCACATGACAAGTGAAGAGAGGAAGCTGTTTATTTAAACGTTTTCTCCAGCAGCAGAACAGGAGTTCTATCAAATTATTTTTCGTCACCTGTTTCTTTTGTGATGCAGCCATCTGTAACTCTTTCAGCCATGCAGCTAAAGGAAACTGAAGGACCTCGAGCCATGCGGCACCGTTGCCTTACAAAATACGGAGTACGTGAGATCCAGCATTCAAATGTAAAAACCTTCAAAAGTCCTTTACTCACAGCTGAATGATGCAGCTCCGTAATGCCCCCCCCCATAAAGTTCAAACACTGAACAAATGTTTCGTTCATTGATGTCTTTCTGTTGGGGAAATTATGTATTATTTGCTTTGATTTTGTTCCTTTAAAAGCAAAACACTGTCTTGTCAGTATGATTAAAGCAGCATCAAAAGTAACAATTGCTCACCATGACGTTAATGACGCTGAGAAGATGAATGCCTTTAGAATAAAGTGCAAACACTCTGGCAACTCCTGCAAGCGAAGACGACCACATCACAACAACAAATTTAATCTCAGAACTTGTTTCTACATTTCACGACTGCAGGGTTATACTCGGCTTGAAATTAATCATTCAGTAAATGGTTCTGTCTTCTTCTCTGTGAAAATCCAAACTCCTTTATTGGTTTAATTAGGAGAAGAAGGGGTGAAAGCCTTTGGCAGCTGATCAGAAGCAAACCACACACCCATATCGTCCACAGTGCCAAGCATGTAGGTCGTCTCAGCCATTTTGGTCATCTGAATAAGAGTCACCTCCAGCCTGTCTTGCAGCCACTCAGCTACACAGGTGAAGGACGAAGCGCACCACACAGACAGGCCCTGGGAGTGACCCAGACCCAGATACATGCCGTCCTCTGAACACGTCAAGCAGTTAGTGTTTTCTGGGAGTTGCTGAAAAAGACCAAAATCAAGCAAAGCGTCCTTGCAAGAACTCTATTTTATGTTAAATTATCTCAATACCACAAAGAGTGGCAAATATATGAGCCTGTAAAGTCTTCTAATCATGTCTGATGTGCACAAATAATCTATTAAAATTCCTGTTTAGGCTCAGTTTTAAACAGAAAGTTAATGTCTGCCTCTGTAATGTACCTGAGCCACACCAGACAGCTCCATTAGAGGCGTCTCTCTGGACTTCACCGCTGTCATTTTCTGTTTACCTGGTAGAGGATGTGTTGTTAAAATGATGTTAAATTTATAAAAAGCTGTTGAATTTCATAAATCTACTACAGCTCTGGGAAATAAATAATTACAGAAACTGACATAAAAAAAACACTCATTGTCATTTTATTAAAGTAGATATGCCTGAGTGGCATAAAAACCTTCACATCTTCAAATATTCCGATAGATAAGTGGTGATAACATGTTTTATTTAAATATAGATGAAAGAGTCATGATAGAAGATTATGCTCGGTGTGAGTTTTATTGAACAATTGTTAGCCATGTTTGGGCCAAATTTCACCGCTTTATTGAGAATTTATTTTTCAGACGACTCATATGAATATCAGTCATGGCTACGTAAGATTCAATAACCACAGGTCATCATATTACAGAGAATGTCCACTCTAGTCTTACTTTACCTGAAGGGAAAATTCACGGCGAGTCCTGTGAGAAGAAGCTACTAGCTAAGAACGGTGATACACACGGTAGCCATGACAACAGAGTCACGTGCCACATGAACGCATGCGCAGTCAAACTTTATCGACGGCAGCTATTTATGCTAATATTAGCTATATATTGGCAAAAATATACTGAAACTTTGATTAAAGTCGATGTGTGAACATTTAATTGGGTCTTTAACCCAATATATTTGTTCTAATGAATCAATTTGCTTATTGATCTTCTCCAAAAATCATAAATTATGCTAAAACATATTTCTTATGTTTGCTGCCATTAAAAACAAAACAATAAAACATTGAATGCCAACTGCATGAGGTTCAAAGCCATAATTATGAGCAACAAAGTCTAAATTACAGCTTTCAAAGTCATAATAAAGTCACTATAATGAAATGTAAAGTGAAGATAATGCAAAATAATTATAACTTTTACACTGAGATATAGTCACATTTAGAAGACAAAGTTAAAATAAGAGTAGTGTATAAAACAAATCAAGGTGCCATAAAACAGGGTGAAATACAAAACAAGAACATCTGCCTTGATTTTTCCATTGACATTATCAAATGTTTGAAACCCCTTAAAGAAATCAAGGTGGACAACTTCAGTTCCTGTAAGGTGTTCCAGGTTGCAGGAGCAGAGTAGGAAAAGGCCTTTTTTCCAAGTTCAGTCTCCGCATTGAGGGAACGCTGCAGGTAATGATGGCCTGAGAGCACATGCTCTAACTGCACTGACCGCGTGACAAGTGGGAGGAGATAAGAAGGTAGCATAGCAGACCATGGAGGGATTTATAGATGAAAATGAACCAGTGTGAGAGTGAAGATAATGATGACCAACTGACCAAGGAGTACAGAGTCCAGTGATGGTATGGTAGTTACCAGTTATGAATCTTAGCGCACCATGGTAGACAGCATCCAACATCTGTAAGGAGCTGCCAGGGGCATCCATGTAAATAATGTCACCATGGTCAATGGCTGGTAGGAAGGTAGCGATAAGCCTACAAAGGCATTTTTTTGGCATTAAGGGTAACCAAGATCTATTTCTGAAAAAGAAACCGTGTTTTAATTTCAGTTTCTTTATCAAGTTTTTGATATATGGTTTAAAAGAGAGATATGCATTGACCAAAATTCCCAAATATTTGTAAGAATCTACAAACTCAATAGGAACACCATGCATGGATGAGCTAGGAGTAAGAGTTGCTGGCACAGACTTTGTTGGTAAACAACACCCCTTTGGTTTTGTGAGCATTTAGCACCACTAGACAGAAACAACTTCTACCCTGAAGCTGTTAGACTCATTAGATTACGGTTTTTCTTTTACATTTTATTGTTTGATGCAACTGGGACCCTGCATACATAATCTCGTTCCACCACATGAGATGCGAATGACAAATAAAGCTCTCTGACTCAGACTTGAGATGGAATAAATCTGACTAAATTATGTCAAATGCAAACTGTAGAAGCTGGAAAACCTTGGCAACTGTGTTATCTCAGCAATAAACAACAGTGTCATCAGCAGAGATGCAAGGATGTGTCAGCAATGTTTTGACCTACATTATACATAAAAATTGTAAAAAGAGAGGGACCTAAAACTGAGCCTTGTGGCACACCATTCGTGACCGTTGGGTAGCTAGATGAAGTACCATTATGTTGAACACATTGCCTCCGTCCTGAGAGATCATTTGAAAACCAAACACTGCTTGGAACTTCACATTAAAAGTTTTTAAAATAAGAACAATATAAGAGGAACTGCCTGGGAAAATGTCTGAGTAACGCTCAAAAGAAAATGATTGAGTTTTACCATGGAATCATCAAAATAAGATTTTTGATTTTTAAATTTAAAATGCTTTAACTGTATAACTTGACGAATTAGAAAAGTGCCACTAGTGTTAGCTTATAAAACGGTCAAAAATCATATATATAAATATATATAAAAAAACTTTTAGAGTAAAGAACACCTTGATAACTTTTTTATTGTAAACTTTTTACAACAGTGAAAGGAATTAAACATCTGTAAATCTCTTCAGAGTCCTCTGACTGAGGCCTTGAATCCAAAACCAACAAAGAAAACATCTTATAAATCCATTATTGGGGCTTGGAAACAAGATTTAAACACATAAATACAATCCATTTACATAGTAGGTTAGACTTCAAATTCAGTGATAATTTCAAAAGATCTAGTTGTCAAGGTCATCTTGAGTTGATATTGCATTTCATTTTACCACCCACAATCATAAAATATTACCTTTAAAACTGCCTTCTTTAGCAGAAATCACAGAGGACACAAACATCTCCACGTTCAATTAAAGGAGTTAAACGAGTCACCAACAGTGACACCAGCAGCAGCGTACAGATCAGTGGTACTACCACTGATAAGTACCCAAGTATTAGTGTCAGCCATGATTAAAAAGTGCCCCTGCAGGGGTTAAAAATGCAACCAATCAGCAAGTTACCTTATCATAATCCATCAAACTGTGATCTAAACATCATTAATAAACAAAAAGCCACTGGTGATGTTTAACAGAAAGGGTTTCCAACAAGGTACCAGTGAGATAAGGCAGATATGGTGCGTTTAATGACCCGTTCTTAATATTGGCAATTTGGATTAAGCTCCAATTCTGTAATCTTAAGGCTTCTTAATTGATGCTTTTGTGATGGGGAAAAATAAATAAATAAATAAACCACAAAACACAACTAGTCAGAGCGGGCACTGATTAGGCTACAATTCACCTACCGGTACATATGCATCAACATTTCCAGTGGAGGATTAGGTAAACTTAAAAGAAAATGGTTCAAATCTTTAAAAGTGGGGTTCTGTGGAAAGGGTATGAACAGTATACTGTTGTAACTAGTCTCAACTTAGACTTGCCATTAGCTCATCAATTCAGAATTTGTAGCGCCACCTACAAGTGGCCATTTCAAAAGATCTGAGCTATCCATTTCGAGCTCACAAATGCGACATTCCCAAGTTTGAATTCTTACAATACTACGGTAGTTCTGCTTGTTATGAGTTATACTGGTTTATCTCTCTTTAAAGCGCAATAAGTGATTTCAAGCCCAACTAAAGTGTTGTGTGGAGTGACTGTTGAGCTCTCATTTTGCTGAAATATTCATCTTTAGAAGCTTTTAGGGGCGACAGGACGACACTTTCCATCTATACACACCGTTATCCCTAATAAACACTTTGATATAAGAAAATCAGGTGCTACAAGTTGACAAGGCCAATGTCACAGGACAGAGAAAAAGTTGATTCTAAATAAATACATCAGCAGTTTATAGGTCAAATGTTACACCTTTTCCCTACTAGGTCAAAATACTTTCAAGTAGATGTGCTGCTGATTAAACATAAGCATTCTGGTCCATGTAGTTGTTACTAACAAGAGGGGGAGCGTGGTTAATAAATACTTTAGATAAACTCAAGTGCATTTCGGAGATAAGATATGCAAGAACTACAAACTATTGCATATTCAGCTGTATTATAATTTCCCAATCTGTTTGATCTTTCTGCTGGATGTGGATCAGAAACCAGCATGTGGTTTGTCAGGATGACAGGTTTCTTTAAATCTAAACTAAAATGGCTTCTTTATTTTTAGAATAAAACCCTTTTTACTGACTCTACAGTCAAATAAATGTCTTTATTGTATTACCGGTACTTCTGTTTGGTACGGCATCAAAACTAGGGATGCATGATATTATCGGCATGGTATCGGTATTGGCTGATATTAGCGATAAAGTTAAATATTGGACATGGGTCATTCGATCAAAATAACTCACTGATATAAAAGGCGTTGTACTGTATGTATATAAGGTGCTGTTTTTGTATGACAACCCAGTGATAGTGCCAGCAGTGCCAGCACAACGTTATGACATCACACGCACTATGGAGTTTAGATTTGTGAAAATTTACAAATTTGCACTGTTCGAGTGTTGTCATTGTGTTAGAGAAAGTAAATATCATGAATAAATTTGACATTAAACATAATCCAAGTTGAAGTGTTACATCAGTTTCAGCCCTCTTTTTGGCATCTGCATTTGATCACAGGCCAAATTGACAAAGACGATGCAGAATAATGTAGTATTTTAATTACACAGCAAAGAAAGCTATGTAGTCTCTGTAAGTAGGTCTAGAAAAAATAAATAAATCAATATTTGTATTGGTTATACTTTAGGCCAAATAAGTTTTAACATATCGGATATCAGACAAAAATCCAATATCGTGCATCCCTAATCAGAAATGTATGGTTGGTCTAAGAAACTTTTGACTTGTTTTCTCATTTGGATTATCTGTTTATTAAAGTGGCTGAAGGAGACTCCAGAGGGAATAAGTTAATGGATTTTGTTTGCATTTTTGGACATGAGGCCTAAATTTGAGATTAAAAAATGTGACTTTTCTGCAAAGGGCTGCATGTCATAGCCATCACACCATCTTCATATGAAATTATATATGGTACTATTTTAATTTCCTCTGCTAAATAAAACTCTTTAGGAAGCTTACGTGTAGAAATCAGAGGAAATGCATGTTTTAAAAGCATCAAAAATAATTTGAATAAGTTAAAATTTGCGATACATTTCCATCCTAATGTCGTCCAATGATTTTTAACTTGGGTTTTCCCTTTGACGTTATTAAAAATAAAAATAGGACAGTCAGAAGTTCAGAGCAGAATCCATGACTGATATATTAGAGCTTATAAGAAAATCCTTGGTCCCAGCAGAAGCTCTGGCAGCTGCAGTCTCCATTCAGATCTCCTCCAGGTCAAAACTCTTTGTAGTGTAGCCAAAGTAAATGGTCCCAGATATTAAGATCTGGAAGGAAAACGCTATAAGGAGGCTTTAGAGAGATCATAGTCCACGATGAGCTGTTTGATGTACGACAGTTTTCCATGAAGATACTCGCAGCGTTTCTTTTCCTCCCTGTAGCTTGGAAACTTCTGTGGGGAGAAGAGACACCGTGTCAGTAAAACATTTTGGACATCAGAAGTTGTTTTAAGAGGGAAGCAACCAACTTGGGTCTCAGACCAGCCATTTGCTTGTCGGTTTGATCAGAATTTTTTTTCATTCAACCTTTATTTAGACAGGTAGATCCCATTGAGCCTCGAGGACTCATTTACAAGAGAGACCCGAGTTCAACAAAGAATGATGAAAAACAATGCAGTCGAGGTTCCCACATTTGGGGAATTCGCAAGGAGTATCAGCTCTGCCGAAATGCAATGACAAAGCCTCACCCTGGGTGAACCACCTTTATGATCATGGTATCCCCAGCCAAGTAAGTATACCAATGGACAACAGCGACAACAATAGACAGCTACTAGTTAGCAGTTCTTGTGCTAAATTTAGCTTTTTGGGCTAATTCCACATTTTTTAAGCTCATTTCAGCTCCTTCGGTAGTTTAAACTTCTTTCTGCCTTTTTAGCTACTTTTAAGCTGTTTATTGCTCATTTCAGCATTTTTTTTAGTTAATTTCTTAATTTTTGTGCTCATTTCTGCTTATTTAAACCTAATTCAGCAAATATGTGTTCTTTCTTTCTTCTGCTACGTTAGGCTTTTTCTTCCATTTCAGCATGTTTTTAGCTAGCTCTTCTGAAATATGCATTCATGCTACATTTTTGCATGAAACACAATTTCTCTAGTTGCTTTAAGCATTCTAATAATCATGTGTTTCTCCAAAAGCAATGAAAAGAATAAAAATAAAACGCTCTACATATATTTGAAAACAATGTTGAAAAAGAAAAGTTCTTACCTTCCGATACTTCTTGTACTTTTCAAGTATTTGCTCTTCCATTAGCTAAAGAGAGTGAAGCATAAATCACTAAATTAAAACAAATATCCTAGTCCTGTACAGCACGCTCCATATTTGACTGGATTAAAAAGTTTTACCTTATATTCTCGTGTGCCGGGAGACAGGCTCTTGATCTTGGACCCCAGCTGAACAAATATGTGAGTTATGGCAGCGATTCGGGAATGGAGATCTTTGTACTCATCGTACTCTGCACAGAAATCCTCCTGGTACCTCCGACGTTGATCCAAACTCGTTATGGCGCTATATGTGCTGCAAAGACACACACAGTAAGGGATGATGCACCTGGGATCTTATATGGACCTTAACAGGTCATAAATCACAGATTAGGAAATAAAAAAAACCTATTATATCTAACAAGTTGGGCTTTCGAAGTACCTTCTTCCCATTTTTATTCTCTTCTTATTTAGTACTACATTAGTCTGACACAAGATGGCAGCACAAGGCCACAATCCCTCTGGTCTTTTATAAATATTAGGGATTTATACCCAAGACGCCACAAAGATTAGCTACTTTACATCATGTTTACACTTACAGCACATAATCCTGTTTCTCCTCAGAGGCCACAGCACTTGTGATGTCAGGATCTGGAGCAAACACAAAGGATTAAAAACAAAAATTAAATGGAGTTAAGTCAGTACAGTGAGTGACACAGAGCTTAGCTGCTGTCTGAATATTCAGCTGTATGTTTGTCTCCCCTCCACCAACACCACCACAAGAGCCTCATGGTGGGAGTGTGCAAGTGTTGCCGCCCGCTTCGGCTCAGACTGGATAAAAGCTTGTGGGTGTCAGGGGACTTGGTCCACCACTGGAGCTGTTGTTGAGTCAGTCAGCCGCATAAGACGGGAGAGGACTCAGGAGGGTGAGATGAGGGGAGCAAACAGAGCGACGCTTCTGACACAGTAACGCACAAATACAGGCCAGGCTGTCTGTTCAACTCGGAGCCACCTCAGGCCTCTGTGGTCATCTGTTTGTGTGTGTGGTTGAACTGGTTTTATTCCCAGCTGCAGGGGAGACACAGCTCAGGAACAACAACAAAAAGGCTGTGGGAGACGTGATCACTTGAACGTGACT